TGAAATTTTAAATTTTTGAGTTCGTTATATCTAGAATTCGTTATATGGAGGTTCGTTATAGTCAGAGTCGACTGTATCGTAATTGTAAAGTTATTTAATAATTTATATAAATTTATGCTTGTTTTGCATATTATTACCGAAGGACCGTAGAATGCATAAAATCATAAGAAACTCATGTAGTTTCACGTACTGTAGTTTTTTTTACCTATATAGTAATTTTATAGAAAAAAGTTCGTGATGTGATTATTGCATCTGCATTACGAAAGTTTTTCCAGCACTATGAAAGTTTTTGGCCAACGTTATTTACTTCCATCAATTACATATCGATGGGTATTTGAAACGTTCCAGTAGACATCACTGGTGTAAAATTATTTTACGAATTTATTCTATAACAGTAGTATAAATTATTACGAATCGTGTAGTGTTTATTATCAGTTATAGTATCTATCGTAAAATCTACGTATTCTACTCACGCGATTACGTATGCACCGCATAATTATATAATCTCTTATTATTTTTTATTCCCGGACGAGCCAGTTGTTGGTAATCCAGCATACACTTTAACGTAGTCATAAATTAACCACTGTAAAGCAGTCAAAGTACCAATCATTATAACACGAGTACCAAGACCTCTCCAGAGTCCAGCGAAGCCAAGTTCTTTAGTGAGCTTCATTGATAAAGCAAGAGTTGATTCACCTTCGGCTTTTTGTACATTATTAAGCTAGGATATATGATATAAATTAGAAAAAACAGTCTAGATCGAATAGTTGTTATTTAGGTTAAATAAAAACTATAGAACAAATATTACCTTAGAAACCAAAGTATCTGCAGGATGACTGACTATCGCACAAAAAACACCAGCAATGTATCCACCGAGGAAAGATACACCAAGTTGTTCAAGTTTGTTGTATTCTTCTTTGGGTTTCCCAAGAGATTTATAAATATATTCTAAAAAATTATAATTGATAACAGATTCGAATTAATGTCTGAAATTATAAAAATTTATAATTAAAAAAAGCACATATGGTAAGTTACAAACCGACGGTCCTCTCAAAACTTGCGAATTTCATCATAGTGTAAGGAATTTGTCTAGCCCAAAGAGGAGTAATACCTTTGTAGAAACTTTAAAATAAATATAATTTTAGTAACATTTCTAACTATTATTCAGCGAAATATTTTAATATATTAAGACCACATATACCCATTTGCACCTTCTTGTTTAAGAATCTTTTGGAAACCTTCGGCCGTCGAATTAGCAAATGGGACAGTGGACGTTTGCATCCTTACTTTTAATGCTTCCCATGGACATAAAGCAATGTCAGCAAAAAATTCGGCACTATAGAATCATGAATAACAATAATTGAATTATTAAAAAAAATTGAATTATTAATAATGTTGAATTGTCAAACATACCTCGCGCTAGCAGCTAAATAGAGAGTGGTTCTATATTTGTGGGCATTTTCTTCGCCGGCTAAATCAGAGTACTTTTTCTTGAAAACCTCATAAAAACCGTATTTTGCGGCGCCTTGGAAGGAATAACCGATAAAAGTTGGAACCCATCCAGTGTATAAACCTCTGAAGCCTTCAGCACGATAAATCTTTTTCCATCCATCAAAGTTACCCTTGTAAAGGTTAGCATCGACCTAAAATAATATGATAAAAGAGGACAATGAAAGCGCGTTATTTGCAAATTTTAACGTTTTTAATACGATATTAAAAGGTCAAGACGCATTATATATATAATAGGAGCCAAAAAACAGAATTCAGCAAAAATGCAAAAATTGTACTATAATATTTAACAGTTTAGTTTTTTTCTTCCTACCTGTCTGCGACATTTTACAAGATCAAGTGGCGTAACAAAGGTATGGGTTAAACCACACGCTAGAACACCACCAAAAGCACACGTAATATAATATTTTCCGCTATATAATTCAATGGATTTTTTTTCCAGAACTTTTTCCATGATTGGGTACACGAGTTTACATTAAATTTTGATCTTGCGTAATTTATATAATTATCACATATTAAAATGATTGGCAAATCATTTAATATCAAATAAGCACGTGAGTATATGAATGAGCATTCTCGAACAGAATTTTCTACGTATACATTGGTTGTCCCAATCAAGATTGAGGATTACCAAAAAAAATTTTTTTAGGGAAAATCTAATTATTTGTATGTACGTACACGGGCACGTACTTAGCGTAAAATTATTGCTTTTTTTATTAAAATATTGATTGAAACTAACGTGTATGATTATAAATTTTCATTCTATTTAAAAGTCATTCATGTAACTAAAATTATTAGAATTAGTAATATTTCGGGTGACTTTAATAACTAGAATTTCCCTTATATACAGTATTATAAAAACGGTCTTTTTAAATTTTGAATCCATAATTAAATATATAGTATACAATATAATATTGGTTTCAGCGTCGCCAATAATCCCGGCTCTGATCTTATTATGATTATTCGACGTATCGATATTAGTATTATTAATCAAAGTTTGACTATAAATTGGCGCTCTCGACCATTGGCGACGCTGTGGCGAAAAATTTTGGAAATAATTTTTTCCAAAAATTTTTTCCCGATTTTTAAAGGCGCATGTGATCTGACCAATAAAATAGTCTTTATCCATGTGATTTAACCAATAAGATTATTATACATAGATGCAGGGGCACCAATACAGTGATAAATTTTTTTTCGATCTTTTTAATAGTATCATAACCGGCAACAAAATTTGCAAATAATGAGTCAATATATAAAAAAAAATTTTTTCCAAAATCTTTTATCCAAATTTATTCAGTTTGATATCCAAAATTTTCCGTATCCCCGATCGCTATGTATATTGTGATAGGGAATAACCGGAGGATTCAGGAGAATTAGATAATCAGTCATAAGAAGACATTTATTTGATTGGCTAATTTATATATAACTATCAACCATCAATTAAAAATACCGATACGAAATAAGTTCTTCAGTATTAGTGAAGCTTTTTACTCTTCATTATAATTAATAAATAACATATTTTCGGATACCCAATTATACATCATAGGAAGAAATTCGTCTGATTGGCTAATTTTTATAGATCTACCCGTGATTACCCGCGATAATTAACCAATCAAAGTATATGATATTAAAAGAACTTAACGTAATTAATGCTATTGCCAGGAAATGAAAAAATCTTTATGATAAAGAGGTATACAAATCGATAAATACAAACGAAGAATTCATCAAATATATTTAGAAACATGTAAAGTGGAATAAAAGCCGTACTTATTTGCGTTTAATCCGAACTTATTATACAATCTATAATTTTTAAATCGAAATATGGTGTCAAACCTAAACATACTACAAATTCAAATATTAAATCCCGTTTTACTACCATTAAATTAAGCAGTTAGTAATGAAAGCTCTAACGTCGTAAAACAGAATTCATAATAATTCTATAAACACTCTTCAATAATTGTCACGGCTGATGCTGAATATCACGGGCCGGAAAATCTTCCCCAGTATCGCCACCAAACGAATATTCTACGGACAGAGCTTAGGGACAGAGCAGAATCATGTGATTAGTTAATTAGCGGTTAGGGACAGAGCAGG